ATATAAATATAAAGAAGGAAGAATTTCGAAGGAATAGACTTCAGAAAACTAACATAGATACATAGATACATTATGTATCACAAGTTTAGACTATTTAAATGAATACATGTAATCAAGGATACTTGTCAAAAGAAAAAAAATTATAAAATGTATATTACTCCCTCCCTCCCTCCCTCTCTCTCTAAATATACAATGATATAATTTAGACTATACATAAGATGGTGGAGAATAACACAGAAAAACCAAAATCATTTTGTATACCAAATATAGAATAGTTAAAATAAAAATACCAAAATTGATTAATGGTTAAACGAATAGCTTGTATTTTAAAATAAAAAAGAAATAAAAGAAAAACAACAAAAAGAAAAAAAGAAAAATTTGAATGTATATAATGGAAAATATTCGAAAATTTTCATTTCCTTGATGATTGGATACTAATGAAGGATCTTCTAAATTTCACTTGACAACTTGTATTTCATCATTGAAACAACTAACATATTTTATTTTCTGTTCATAAACTGATGAACTTATTTTTTTTGGGGGGGGTATTTATTTAGACTTTAAGAAGTCTGTTTAATTCGCTGGTTCATAGTTTAAAATGTAAACTATAGAATAAAACTAGGTCTGATAATATTCATTATAACAATTCCGTACTTTCTAGGTAGAGTTATATCCATTGTTTATGATTTATTTAAACACATAAACATTGGTACAAGGAAGCACCAGATACATATGCGCCTCACAAATCTCATTTAATTTGTGTGAGGACTTTGATACTGCCTAGGTGCCCAAATCGAAGCAGGTGGTTTTCTTAGGGGGGCACACCCGGAGCATTTGACCTAAAGGTTTGGTCCACAAGGCAGTGGAGCATCGTAAGGAGATGCAGTTCCATGGTTGCCAGTGACCAATAATTGGTTCATGAGCCATTTGTTCCTTCAGGATACTGAAGCCAGCCCATGTGCACCATTGGTTTGGAATCAGGGTTTTCTAACTCCCCTAGATGGACTCGCTGTGTCCACCGACCCGGTTAAAGTGCTGGACATTTGCTTTTCGACCTCTTAATTTCGTAAACAACACCCCCACCACGAGAAGGCAGTGAGTAGGACTTCCTTGGCAGAGGCTATATACGCTATAGACGATAGACTATATACAATATCTATTGTAATAATCCAAGAATTCATATCGTTCTACTAAGCTTGATGATATTAATCACCTACTACAGTTATTAAACTGAAACCTAAAGTGAATTGAAATCGAAACTTGTTATAAATAAAATCCTTTTTTAGAAAGAAAATGAAGTGATATATCACTGGATAATGGGAAACAAGGAAACAAGGCAAACTGTAGTTACAAAATTAATAAATGTACATAGAATGAATAATAATTGTTAGATTTCGTAGTCTTAAAAGATTAATGGCAATTATTTCTCTTCATCGAATATGTTGTACAGTGGAAAATATGAGATATAATTTATGTAGTGATATTTTAAAGTGATTTTGACAATGAAATATCAAAACACCATAGATTCCTTTTCATACATTTCACTCTTCTTTTCATAACCATTGTTTCCTTTATGAAGTATTAATAAATTTATGATGAATTTTTTCTATCTATTTCCACGATCATAACACTAATTTATTAACTCAAGGATGGTACTATTTGCTGTTAACCCCATTTTACATAGTGTCTTTCCCTAATAGTGAGTATAAAATATTGATTCAGAAATGATTTGTACCAATGGCTAGTTTTACAGTGGGAAATGAAGTGGGCAAGTGCATTGAAAAATCCACTTGTCCTGGAATTCTTGGTGGATTGATGGCCGAGCAAATCTACGTACGAGTTCAAAATGCTTGTTCAGCTTTCACCATCTTACACTGCTTATAAAATAAACAAGATATCCATCTGGTAATAGTCTAACATGGCTCTAGGAATGTGAAACATTCTATCTGAAAATAGAAAGTGTCGAAGTAGGTTGTAGATATTTCATGATATTTGTCTTTCAGGCATTGATTATTTATGGTAGAATCACGAAGTTATGTTTAAGTCAAATGTTAGATACCTTGCAAAACGAATTCGACTTATGAAACCCTAAACTTTCATCATATGAGGTGTTTGAGGTAAGCATCATACCTCTCTAGCCAGATCCTAATCCGGTGAGTAATAATGGATGGAGTTGAAATAGATTAAAAGTATGTTAAGGTTTGCTAAACGTAGAAACGGCCTAAAGCTATGGAGATATTGACCACCTTCCTGAGAAGTGTCCGAAAATGCATATTTCTTATTTACATTTGAATTTTACGACGTCTACTAATGAAAACCCTCTAAATGGAATTGTTGTATTTGGAGTATAGTATCGCTAACTTGGAGATATTAACCTTGTACAGAACACCTTATCGCACATCAAGGATAGAAGTTCATGATCACTGAATGTTGTCATTTGATGTTAAGACTTTGTAGAATGCAACAAATATTCCCTAGTTTCCGTGAAAGTCTAGCCAACTTATTTAAAGAAACCTGTTGACATAAGGTTACCCTTTGGCCATAATCTATAACAGGAGAATTGATACTTAATTAGACAATTTATACACTTTAAGGAACAATACAATAACCAAACAGGAACACACAGCCAATTATGTTAACGGAAAAGGGAAACTTACTATCATAGATGGGGTGAGTAAAATATAGTTTTACTGTGTTACTCCAACAAAGTGTCATATTGTGATGTTCATTAAAGATATGTGTGCAAAAAGAAAACCTATTTTTAAATAAGCCATTACAGGTTATATACGTAAACTAAGCCACTATGTAATCGATGTATGTAGCTAAATAAGCGGTAATGACAAAAATGATCGAATACGCTAATAAACATGAAAATAATTTTGAACTGCTTTATAAAGATTACCTAACACAGAAATTGTGTATAAGCCAGACAAAACATCGTAATGTTTTTGGTTTTGAGAACGATCAACAGTAAAACAACATAAAATACCTAAAAATGGCAATAATGTGGGACAATGACTAGACGAAGATTGGTAGATGATAGGAAACTTGCTAAGATAGATAAATATAATTGTTCATAAGCTATTTTTTGGAATATCTTTTTAAACAGACAAACATTATTACGACTTAAAAATGAAGATTTTAATATAACAAGAAACTAGTTTTTTTCTTCTTTTCCGGAAAGATATAATTTTAAAAACCAGAAAATAAGTGACTTATATGGTGAAAAAAGGGTGAGAATGTTTTGAACTAGAAGAGTGGATAAGGTTAATTTCAAATGTTCGATTTAAATCCAGTCGTCCTACAATTAAAGTAAACCATAAGCTTCTTAGCGACAGGTTCAACGTTGGCAAAACAAACTATAGTTAAACTAGTGAAATTACGGACCAGGAATACGACAGCAAGTCACACCGGTTTCATTATTTTCGTGAAAGCCAATTAAGCCTATCATGGTAGTTCGCGTAAAACAGGACTAGTAATAACCATGTAAAATGGTCGGACGAAAGAATTCTAGGATGTAAAATAATTAGATCAAAATGTCACTGAAACAAGTTTATGATTTACTCAACCAACAGTTCATCTAGAGTTCATAAGAAAGTCACATTCTATATAGATGATAATTGAAACCACAACTAAAAAAGATATTAATAAGTACAATAGTAACTCAATGGTAAATTACAGTCGATCTGAAACAAATATTTTAATTACTGAACAAACATCGTAAATAAAAACGGCCACTTATCCAAAAAAAATATAACCTCAAATTATCGGCATTACTGGGATTAATTTTCAGTATATTTGGTAGGCACCTTACAGAAACAATTAGTGATTCACTGAAATCAAAGCTAACGTCATTAGATATAGTAAAATGTGCGCACACCTCTACATACTAGCTACTCTATCATAACGAATTTTGTAAACACATTGTACCCTTAGATGTAAGTCACAGACTTTCACAGTTCAATAAATGTCGGAGTGTTGGTGCACAAGTAAATAACACAGAAATACCGTTTAGTGAACAAGCGATTCAATTTATGAGTGAAATAGGAATGAGATCGAAATCAAAATAACCCTGTAAAGCTATAAAAAAGCACAAAACTGCGGGTGAAGAGTTTGCATATTAACAGCTATTTCTAATAAATATTCGACATGGAGAACGTTTGCAAAACTCGATGATAAAGACTATCTACACAGGTACTTATGTGAAAGTGTGTGAGGAAACCACTGTGACTCCTATAATTGTAAGCACAAGCTAGTAAAGTTACTAAAAATTTGTTATATTACAAGAATACTTGTTGAACAAGTTTTCAACTTGTAACTTATGTAGATCGAAAACCCTTTCGTTAATCTGACCGCTCATTTCACTTAGTTACTGACCTTTAAGATTATATGGAGACATTTAGTTAGTGTTTGAAAATAATATTCACAAGCCTAATATTTGAAATCCATCAACAAAAGTTTACAAAAAAATAAAGGACCAACAGCTTATGTAGCAGGCATTAAGGCAACATGGAAACCATCAAGTTAAAATTAGACAGCTCTACATCCCACCCTTTTTTGAACTCCGAATTACGGACAAACGAATCGGTAAGTAAAATGTTTTATGTAGAAAAGTTAGCAGAATGGTGAGATAAAAACCAATTCAGTAATGTGATGGTACATAATTCCAATCTACGGAACTAGTACTACAAACAGTATATGCTGAACTTACAAGTGAATTCGTATCAACAAAAACCTTTCATCTAGATTAAAAATACATTTTTTGAAGACTGGTGATGAGTACTTAAATTATACTTGCATAATACACAAACCGAATTCAATAAAATTAACCGGGCATAACACAATGAGTTAAAATAGTGTTTTACATAATTTCAGTGGTCAGTTCAACGATAATATTATGCTCAGAACTTTTTATTCGAACTCTATGTAATCGGTTTACTATGAAAAACCATAAATGTCAACCGCAAAAAATCAAAAATAAAATAAAACTATAAACTTACTTGGGTTTCGCTCTCGATAACCAATCTAACTTTATCTTCCGTGAGGTTTTCCGAAGATTTCTGCTGTTCTTCTTCTTCCCCTTCATCTTCATAAACTTTGACTTCATCAGTACAGGCTAAATTATCAGAAGCGGTGGAGCTTAACATAGTTTTTTTAATTCAAAGCTTTAAATATAACTCCAAACTAATGTGAAATATGCAATTATTCGATGTGCATGACATTCAGTTAATTGAAAATAGCATCATAAGTTGACTAGCTCTTAACGTCCCAACACGAGGGAACAACACTTTTTTGCGAGTAGAGCGGAATCTGCATAACCTTTTTCTAGGTTAGCGATAAGTTTGGTTCGTTTATTGAATCAAACAAAGACCAGTCGGATAGGTGTAGTGTTACGACTACAGTGACCATTTTAAGAATTAACCAAAAAACTTGAATCGGATTTAACTCTGAAGCTTTCATTTTTCTCAGAAACTGCTAAAATTGGTTTTAATAAGTGACAAATTTGTGCAGAGCTAGTTTTCAAGTGGTTCAAATGGTTATGAATGGAACGAAAACGTTTTCACTAAACGATCTTCTGGTTTGGCAGCGATAGATTACCGATCCATTCATGCAAGGTTTTAGGTACGTGATTCAGAAGAGTTAAATGAAGCTTCATCAAATCAATACGAGATGATATCCAGGCTCTAATGAGTGTCATGTCCCATGGTCCTTCAAAACATCACGTAACTTATTTCCCAGTCAGAGCACCGACTTATATGGCCCAGTCCCTATGCCAAACCAATAATGCTTTAACTGGCACGAGTAGCCAAAGGTTAACTCTAAGTCCTTATCGATCCTTTGTATAATAGCTTCTCACCAAGCCCAAACCATACGGTCCAAAACACAATTATCAGCCACTTCTGTATGAATTGTATATTTTAGACATACGTGGACCATGCACAAGCAGATCAAACCGCACCACACCATCAAACAAAAAATAATAATCACACAAGATCAGGCCAAAAGTAGCTGTTCATGTGCGACTCTGTAACTAATAATTTGGGAATAATCTGAGGAAGAAATCAGGAGGAAGCGCTGGAAGTGGATTGGGCACACTTTGAGGAAATCACCCGACTGCGTTACAAGACAAGCCCTCACATGGAATCCTGAAGGTCAAAGGTGAAAAGGAAGACCAAAAAACACATTACGCAGAGAAATGGAGACAGACATGAGAAGAATGAACAAAAATTGGATCGAACTAGAAAAGAAGGCCCAGGACAGAGTGGGTTGGAGAAAGCTGGTCGGCGGCCTATGCTCCATTGGGAGTAACAGGCGAAAGTAAGTAAGTAAGTAAGTCTAAGAGTGGTAACACGTATCATGGTAACCAACAGATCAAATGAAAGCCTATGATAAAAGGAATACGAATATATGTAGTCTGGTCGCTTAATAATCATCCAGCAAGAATATATGTAATAATAGTACATAAATAGTTTCTAACAGTTACCATTCAGTTATTCTTCCTTAGGATATAACAGTGAGCTTCATCAATTTCTCCCAGAACTCCCACCTAATCCGGACACACTTTTTACAGAATACCTAATACCTAGGCCGGTCATTAGTTTATAGGACTCCCGTTGTCATTAATACTTGTACACTGGAAAGAAGGATACCAAAGAAGGGATATCGGAGTAAATGTGAGAACTACAGAGGAATAACGCTACAGTCAGTATCAGAAAAGGTTTCAAAAGAGTGTTAGTGAACCGAATAAAAGACTCGGTAGACTCCCAACTTCCAGTTCAACAAGCTGGATTCTGTAAGGATTGGTCCTGCACAAACAAAATCACGGCGCTACGAATCATCGTTGAACAATCAATTCAATGGAACTTATCACTATGTGTCATCTTTGACCATGAGAAGTTGTTTGGCAGAGTGGATAAGAGAACCTTATAGAACCTTGTCCGACATTATGGTGTACCACAGAAGATCGTCATCATCATGAGGAATTCATACGACGGGCTACAGTGTAAAGCCATGCATGGAGGACAGCTGACAGATGCATTTCCAGTAGGGACCGGAGACAGACAAGTCTCCATACTCTCCCCCTTTCTCTTTCTAGTAGTGGTTGACTGAATTATAGAAACCTCCACATCTCATGGGAAGCACGGTATACAATTGACAGGTTAGATGTAACTAGACGACCATGGCTTCGTAGATCATCCATGGTTTCAGACAGTTGGTAGCAGGCACATATCAAACTAATATTTAAAGGAAACTGATGCGGTACATCTCTTAATACCCTCAAATGTTAAGACGTTTTTCATAGATAATACTCTGCGCGTCCGTTTCTTGTCTATGGACATTCTTCGCCGCAACGACTCAGTTTGAGGAAGAGCCACACCTGGATTATCAATATGGTGACTGAGATAAACATATGGACAACCATCCTTAAGCACAAGGGGGAGGCAGAAATTATATACATCGACTTCTCAGAAGCTTTTAATGAAGGCGATTAATGAGATCAAGCTACTACATATCATTTCACCATTACCAGTTTGACTTAGTCCATAACTAAGTAATAGAGGTCAGGACCAATTTTATTACCAGTGATAGTTCCGGTGATCTCTCACCTACCGAGCCGGTAAAGCATCAATCGGCTGGGATAGCACAAGACATCATTAACACCACTTTAGTGTGAGATCATTGTTGTTCATTTTTCATCAGTTTACCACTTTCACGAGCACTTCATTAACTTACCTTCAATTAAGTCTCATTGTCCATCGCCTTATTTCTAACTAGTTTATTCCTACATTTTTCCTCCCACTTTGGCAAACACTTATTTGTCATTCTACCTGACTAAATGTTCATACTTAACTTGGAAACCCGCTGTTTATACTATAGTCATTTAAACCATTACATCAATACTTTACCCATAGTCCATAACTCGTAACTGTCTAATAAGCTTGTAACATGGTACTTATGGAAGTGGCACTTTCCAATAGAATAGAAATAGAGGGCAACAGGTAGGTCGTAATGGTTTATCGAACAACAAAATTGCGAGACCCTAACGTCACAAAGGAAAGAAGGGTAGAATTGTGGTGGCATTGGGCCCTAATCATACAATCGTCAAAGCTGAACGCAAGACAACTGGGAAACAGATATTCAACGTTTAACGAGAAGAAAAACCAAACCATCGAGACGACGGGAAGGACTAATTAAATTAAGCAATCAGTGATAGAGAGGTTGTTCCCCCACTTAGACTAACGTTTTCAGTTTTTTGCTGACCATGCTATTCTACTTAGATAACCGAATTCAGACCTTAATACTATGATTTAGTGGCTGTTATTTGATGAACAATGTGAATAATAGAGGAAAACAGAAGGTAAAAATAGATAAGGTTATTAAGGTTTCCAAACACTTCTCTCTTCTGACGAACTTTCGATTTTGACGAACAGTTCTCCTGATTCTAGATTCAACTTTCCCTCCATCATTTGAGGCTATTCCACCATATAACGCGGCATAACATTTTGTTCTTTATGGCTGTATCCCTTTATTTACAGACTCCATACCCATGATCCATTCTAGTTACAGCAGCTAGTATGCGTTTTGTCTGATGATATACCATATATTCGTCAGTTCCACCATGAACAGCTAAGTGTTGTTGAGGGTTTCGAACCAAACTTTTCCCCGCTCTTTCTTTCTCTCCTTCATCGTCATATTCTCAGTGCTCAGAGATGGAGCTAATTCTGGCGCTCGGAACAGACTTGGCGTAAGCGTTTGCCAAGGTCACAGCTTACACCGAGCACCTATCACTAGTTGCATTATAACGACCATAAACTTATTACATAGCCTTATTGCATAAATACTTAGTAGCACCATAATTCCAACACGCAAACGCTGGGTTTGAACCAGATTGATGTTCGCCAAGACAGAAACCTGAACGAGGTGACGTTTTTGAATAGATCATAAAAAGTATGAATTCATAGTACAGAACTATCGCATCAACCCAATCGTTAATTCGCTTGTTCATCTGCACGAATGTCCTGCCACTGATTTTCGTTGGTTTTATCTATTTAATAAGTCCGCTTTAGCATCACTTCTTCCGCAAACCAATGCTGTTGATTTTTGACTGTCCATTTAAAAGGGTGTGCACTCGCTATCATTGTTACCTTTCTTCCGGACTGCGGAATGTCCTAGTGAGTTCTCCCAGGGATCAATACTGAGACATCTTTTGAAAATTCACGTAAACGATCTTGCTCACAAAATATTGTTTGACTCATCACTTTTGGAAGTGTTAATATTTGGAGAGATGTTTGCGACCAAGATAGTAAGCTAGCACTTCTGAAGGGTCTCACTAGACTTCAAAGATAAACGGACGACAATGGACTTACTTCGAACACTTCAAATTGTAAAGCAATCCATATGTGACATGTTGCAGACTATGCATACAAATCAGGTAACCTATCTCTACAAAAATACCAGGTTTAAAAATGTCTAGTAGTGTTATTACCCAGTGATCTGAAATCTTGGGCGAATTTCGACAAAATGCCTTTCGAGTGTACCGTGATCCGGTTGTGTCTAAGCTCATTATTGACCGGTTTGACGGCAGAACTTTCCAGGTAGTCTTCAACCGTTTTATTCCACCCCATTTAGAGTATAAAAACATGGTATTTCCTCACCAACTGCGAAAGAGCAGAAACACATTGAAACGCATCCAAAGGTGAGCCACGACATCAGTTCAGAAACTTGAATTCAAGCCTTATGGGGAGCCACCCAAATCACTGAACCATTACCCACTAGAATATAAGCATCTCATAGCTGATCTAATAGACTACACCATCCCAAACACTTCTGAGCATCCGCTTAAAAACCTATTTAAGCTCAGTCCCAACACAAATTTTGAGAGTAACATACAGAAGCTGGAAACACAACATTCTTAAGGACTAAGGACAGAATCTTACCATGATTTACTAACATTTTTCCGTTTTCCCCCTTTTATCGTCAGTATACCTAGGCTCCTACTTAGAGGTATCGGTACTGAGGGAATCAGCTTCAATCCTGGCAACACCGCTTAGCGTGATGTTCTCACACTCTCTGAGTCGAGGCAAATTTGGAAGTTGGCTCACATCACACCAATTTTCAAAGGAGGTCGACGCAGTGAACTCTCAAGCTACAGACCGGTGGCCCTTCTCCCTATAACTTCTAAAATTATGGAGTCCCTGATATGCGATGATATACACGATTACTTATTATCCTTAAAGTTCTTCTCACCCCAACAGCATGATTTCAGGAAGAGTCACTCTTGTATAACCAAACTGCTGACCGGTGGACAGACGGACAAGCATCCTTGATTACAAGAAGAAGGTTG